TCTCAGGAACGGCTGGGCCGAATGCGTTCGAATTTGGTACACCGCTAGCGACCGGTTAGAAGGGTGCTTTGCACAAGCCCGTTGGAAGAACCCTCTCGCCCTTCTGCACGTGCAGTGCTCACTATCTCGCTCGCTCGTTCTTCGCCCAAAAGGCGTTTTACTGGTATTGAAAAGACTCACTTCGCTCGCTGCGCTCGCTCGCTCGTAATAACGGAAAAATCTCAGTATGAGCGGCCAGGCCCGGCCCGGCCCGGCCTGTAACGCTTTTGAGAGGCTTATATCTCAGCAACCGCTGGACCGATTGGCCTGCGGTCTTTTTTGCTGGTAGCCCCATCCCTTCTACCCTGTAATTGACTACTTTTGATACATCTCAGTGACCGCCGTGGCACGTGCCACGTGAAAAGCTAAGGGTGTTCAAGCTGTTTTGCAAAAGTAGTGATTTTCAGAGGCTCATATCTCAGCAGCCGCTTGGGCGATTGTCTTGCGGTAATTTTTGTAGGGTAGCTGCATCCCTTCTACCAAAGGTCGGACACTCTTGATCTATGTGAGTGGCCCCCACTGCACGTGCAAAATACAGAAAGTAGAGGTGCCAAATTTGTTCCCATTTCAATACCTCGGTAATTACTGGGGCGATTTCGCTGAAACTTGGCATACAGGTAGGCACCCACCAGGCAATGCATTCCCATGTGTTGCGGTTAGGGTGCTACTGCACGTGCGCACGTGCAGGGGGCGCTTCCAGATCTCGAGAACGGCTGGGCCGATTGTGCTCAAATTTGGTACACGGCTGGGGACCGGTTAGTAGGCTGCCGTGCAAAAGTCAGTTTGGACCCCGTTTGCACGTGCGCACGTGCAGAATGCCGCTTCCAGATATCAGGAACGGCTGCGCCGATTGCGTTCAAATTTGGCAGTTGGCACACCGCTAGCGACCGGTTAGGAGGGTGCTTTGCACAAGCCTCGTTGGAAGTACCCTCTAGCCCTTCCGTACGTGCAGGGCTCACTATCTCGCTCGCTCGTTTTTCGCCCAAAAGGGGTTTTACTGGTTTAGAACAGGCTTCTTATTACGGAGCGAGCGAAGCGAGCGGAGTCTTTCCCATATATGGGAAAGACGTTATATATAACGGAAAAATATCAGTATGAGCGGCCCGACCCTGCTCGGCCCGGCCTGTAATGTTTTTGAGAGGCTCATAGCTCAGCAACCACTGGGCCGATTTACTTGCAGCAATTTTTGTAGGTAAGCTTGCTTCCTTCTACCAAGTATTGGACTATTTTCGCTGCATGTGGGTGACCCCTTACGCACGTGCCACGTGCAAAACGAAGAGGTGTCAGTTTTGTAACAATTGCAATATTTCCGTAGCTACTGGGCCGATTGCGCTGAAACTTTGCCTGTAGGTAGGCACCCACTAGGCAATGCATTTCCATGTCCCACAGTCGGGGTGCTGTTGCACGTGCGCACGTGCAGGAGTCGATTCCAGATCTCGAGAACAGCTGGATCCATTGCGCTCGAGTTTGATAACCGGTTAGGGACCAGATAGTAGGGTACCGTTCAAAGGTAGGTTGGTACCCAACTTGCACGTGCGCACGTGCGGAGTGCCGCTCCCAGATCTCAAGAACGGCTGGGTCGATTGCACTCAAATTTGGCACATTGCTAGAGACTGGTTAGTAAAGTGCCGTGCAAAAGTAAGCTGGAGTACCTCCTCACAATGTCGCACGTGCAAGGCCAACCTCGCTCGCTCCGTTTGTCCAAGATTACTTTACTACTGGGTTTGTCGCCCTATAAGGCGTTTTTTCTGGTTAGGGGAGAGCGGGGAGAGTTGTATCATGTCCAAGTTGTATCAGGGCGAATTGTGCCAAACTTATCCAATAGATAGCGCTCGTGACACGACCAGCCGACGAGGTTTTCCGGGCGCCATCTTTCCCTGTTCTGTCGTGTGGCTGGGTGGACGCGTCTCGAGGTGAGAGCCGATTTTATGTTTTTTTAATGTCATTCTAAAAAAATGAGTTGCAAGAAAATGTGTGTTTTGGGCATTTAGATGTGCACGAATTTGAAAGATCTCCGTAGCGGTGGTGAGGGTAGGTTCTAAGGCTGCGTGAGTGAAAATGGATTTCTCCAGCTGTCCGCTGTTTTGAGCACGAGGATGTTTTTTCCAAGATGGCGGCGAGGTACATATTGTATCAGAGCCGGGTGGGGTATGTTGTAACATGTATGTATGTATGGGTATGTTGCTTTTGATCGCGAAAGCTAAGCCCTGTATCGCGTTTGTAGGTAGCTAGTCAATACTCGTTCCATTTCGGCACAATGTGTTGGCTTCTTTGCTCTTAACGGGCCACTTTTGCATCTAGTCTGTTGATGTTTCGTTCGTTTCGATGTTTCGTTCGGATTGCATTGACCTAAGATTGGTCTAATAAAAGTGAAGCCTTTGAGCATATACATTGTATTAACCATGCCTTTAATGTTGTTGTTATGTTCAAAACCAGAAGCAAGCACACTCCCTGAAACGTGAAATACCTAGTGATACAAATTACCCCACCATGTGATACAACTCACCCAAGCCATGGGGCAACTTGTATCAAAAACATTGTTCTATTCGGCAGACCGTAGAAGAAAAACTGGTAGAGGTAGCGGAAAAGTTACTTTGCACTAAAAAGCAGAAGAATCAAGGAAGGAGATAGTATGGAAATAATGAGTTTATCACGGATAGTTATGAGGTTATGGGTCTCGGAGTAAAAACTGATACAACCCACCCCACTCTCCCCTATGTTGTGTGAATGTTTATTACGGAGCGAGCGAAGCGAGCAGAGTCTTACGTAGAATAGCGGAAATTTCTGTGGTCACGATTCTGCGACGCCTATATCTCAGCAACCACTTCACCGGTTTACATGCGGTAATTTTTGTAGGGTAGCTTCATTCCTTCTACCAAGTATTGGACGATTCTCGATGCATGTGGGTGACCCCTTATGCACGTGCCACGTGCAAAACGAAGAGGTGTCACTTTTGTAATAGTTGCAATATCTCGGTAACTAATGGGACGATTGCGCTGAAAGTTGGCATGTAGGTAGGCAACACTAGGCAATGCATATCCATGTGCCAGACTTAGGGTGCTGCTGCACTTGCGCACGTGCAGGGGTCGTTTCCAGATCTCGAGAACGGCTGGGCCGATTGTGCTCAAATTTGGCACATCGCTAGAGACCGGTTAGTAGGGTGCCGTGCACAAGTCAGTTGGAGGTACCCCTCGAAATTTCGCACGTGCAAGGCCCACCCTCTCGCTCGCTCCCGTTAGTCGCCCCAAAAGGCGTTATACTGTTGTTCAATGTCATATTTGTTTTGCAAAGTGGATATCACTAGGGTTACCCGCGTTCTCCGCGACGCAAGGAGTTTGGCCAATGGGTGTTGGGTTGGTCCTGTGTCGATTTGGTTGGCATTATTGCGTTCGACTGCTTTTTGACGGCCAAGCATTTTGTAATGAAACAAAAAAGGATCCATCGCATCGAGGTGCCCGTGTCGGATTATCATGCGTTCTTCTATAGAGTGATTCGAAAACTGTCGTGAAGTCTTTTGAGGGCAATCGATGAATTTCGCTAAAAATGACAATGTAATGGTTTGGAACATCTACATTTTTTAGAATACTGTTGCTTATAATGCAAAAATGAAGATGCAGCCTTGGACAGAGTTGAATGCTCTTTCCAACTGAACCATTTTCAACTGCCAAACGTATCAGGTTATGCAGCAAAACCTCTGGTCATATCTGGTAAAAACCTTGGCGATCTGGTAAAGACCATCGAAATTGCTCTCTAGCGCTGTCAATTTATATTTTTGATACGAATTGCTCCGGAATATGTGGTTTTAGCATATAACGAGCAAAACTGCTATCTCAACTCCATTCCCCATGTTAGACATGAACATGTCCCTTTAACAGCATGTCACTTGGTGCTTCTTTATTTGGTGTACTTATCCATGGGTCAGGTCAAATGAGGGCAACTGAGGTCAAATGACGTTTTTGCCAATAACTTGGCACACAATGACGCTAGAGCTTAAAAATGGTGTCATTGTATTCCTGTTGATCAGCCGAATCGAATGATATGCGATATGATGCAATTTGGTTACAATGAACATAATTAATTAATTAAAGTTTCCTAAAAAATTAGGAAATTTTAAGTACACTTAAGCAAGCAAAAAAGTATATCATTCGACGCGCCTGGACGTGCTGAGTTCACTGGTGCTTTTATTTTTGCTCTATCGTAATTAGAACAAAAGTTATAAGCGAAAAAAAACTTTCGATCTCTTTCGGCGAAATTTTTACATTTATACCCCCCAACCCCCCCCCCCCCCAATATTGACCTAGAGCAACCAAATTAGCACATGGGCGAGAAGTCCAGGGGCCCACCCATCTACCAACTTTGGTGTTTCTAAGTGCCATAGGAGCCAATCGCGAGGGGAGTCGTATCAACCCCCATTGCCAGGCCGTTATGAAAAATGCCCTGCCAGGGCGAGGCTTAATACATCTACATAGTCGTAACAGCTTGAAATCATAATATTAGCTGATAAGTCATTTTGGGCTAAAATAATCGATGGTTCGAATGTGTACATCCATGCAGCCCAGCGGGGCGCGTATGGCTAATACATCCATGCAGCCCAGTGGAGCGCGGCGCGTATGGCTGAATGCATTCATACAGCCTGCAGCGGGGTACGTATGGCTGAATGCATCCATACAGCCTGCAGTGGGGCACGTATAGCTGAATACATCCATACAGCCCAGCGGGGCACGTATGGCTGAATGCATCCATACAGCCCAGCGGGGCACGTATGGCTGAATGCATCGATACAGCCCAGCATAGCACGTATGGCTGAATACATCCATACAGCCCAGTGGAGCGCGGCGCGTATGGCTGAATGCATCCATACAGCCTGCAGCGGGGCACGTATGGCTGAATACATCCATACAGCCTGCAGCGGGGCGGGGCGCGGGTGATCTGAGAGACGCTCACCGCCCGGCCGCCCACAGGTGGACCTCAATGAGAAGCCGACCTTCTGGAAGGCGCTGAAGCCGCTCGACAAGAACATCTGCGGCGACTTGTTGTGTTCGCTGTGCTACCATCCCAGCAATAGCCAGCTGTCGCTCACCATACTCAAGTGCCGCAGCCTTAAAGCCAAAGACATCAACGGCAAGTCCGGTGAGTGTCACATAAGCGTCACTTGTTGCCTGCCTGGCTGTTTTCACGACGGGTTATCTGGCGAATGCACCAAACTTGATCACATCTGCACCAAATCTGTGTCACAGCAAATATCTTAACCCGCGCCGGGCCGGGGGTGTTTGAACACCCCCCCCCCCCCCCTGCGGTTTTTCGCAGCCGTTTTTGGCACAAGGTCAGGTCACCAGGTCAGGCCAAGTGACCTCACCTCAGAAAAAATAAGAATGCTCGTCATAGCTTCACCGATTGATCGATTGCCTTGAAACTTTCAGGGATTGATTAGAGCAACATTTAATCTTATAAAAATCAAAATGTCTGTACGTATGTATGTATGTAACGCGTCAGTTCCCTTTGGCGGGCTGTTACGAGGCGACTGTGCGGGCTGCGGGGTTGAAATTTTCGGGCCGAGTCAGACGCGTGCAACCATTTGTCGTATTACATTTTGGTGGGGGTGCGCTCAGTGGTTTGCACGTGGCGGGTGCATCTTTGCGGCATTTTGGGTCGCGGCCGACGCCGATCAGAGAGCACGCGCCTTAGCTCAGTTTCTTCGCTTGCAAAACTGAGTGAAATCAGAGCCGGCAGGTCATTGACCTTTGGCAATGAATACCGGCGCAGGCCAGCGCCGGCCAAGAGGAGACGCCAAATTTATTCTGGCAATAACTCGGCCGCTACTGGGCCGATTTTGATGAAAATTGATTTATTACGCTGCGCGTAATGTTGTCCCTCTTTACCCTGCGCGTAATGCTGTCCCTCTAGTTATCTATAAAATGTATATCTCGGAATTTTGATATCGGTGACCTAAGGTCAGGTCAATTTTGCGGCCTCTCCATTATAAGTCAATGGGAGAAAATTGAAAAGCGTCTGTTTTGCATGAACGCCATTCAAGACGCTCTCAAACATCGAAATGTAGGTGAAATTGACACACTGAACCGGAAAATGGCAACTGTGACCCCTCGTTATGTCCCCGAGGTCATCTCAGGTCACGAACAGAATCTAACAGTTTTTCGCTAATAACTTCTGATAGAGGCTGCTAGAGCGCTGAAAACGCCTTAGATGTCTTCGGCTCGACGGTGCGGATCGACTGATATGCAACATGACCTTTTCCGGTCAGGTCATGACCTTGACCTGAGGTCAAATTTTCAAGTTGACTTTTTCAAGGTCAAATTATAGTTCATTCGACGCGTCTCGACGAGAGGAACACGATGCTGGCAAAAGTAATGTCATGGCTCTTTTCAGTCAAAATTATCGCCGAAAAAAACGCTTTTCGTAAAAACGGCTATTTTTGGAGTTTTTGCCCTCTGGAGGCTAAACCGTTGACCTGAGGTCAAATCTGAGAACATTACTCAGAAAGGCCTGTAAAAGGGCTATCGAATGCGCTTTTTCCGCGGCGCTGTAGCTCTATCGGTTCCTGAGATAGCCGTTGGCAGTTTCCAAATTGTTGAAATAGTCAACATTTTACCTTTGGGGACCTCTGGTGACCTGACCTTTGACCTGACCCAAAAATGACTGAAGTGTTTTCGTCTTTATTTTGGACGTTCTTTCGATTTCCGCTTACCGCGTGTCGCTACGTGGCCCAGGAGCCGAGTTAGAAGGGGGGGTGTTCAGACACCCCCGGCCCGGCGCGGAAGCTCAGAGCACCGGCCCGGCGCGGGTTAATAACGTGAATTTATTTCGGTATTTAATCGAATACAACGTCTGATAGTCTGAAAATCAGGTAAATGAGCAACTAGTGCAAACATTAAGCTGAAACCTACAAGAATCTCTAAAAAGTTGAGCTGTGGGTAGTTTGAGCATGTTACGGAGTCGCAAAGTCTTGGAATTTCAAGGTCATCGGGCGAGCCCCTGCGATTCTGGTCTAAATTTGCATACGGATACATTACATTCTCCTCATTATGAATATCATAAAAATCAGTCGGGGCCCGCTATATTTTGAAAGTTACAGATATTTGAATTTCAGTGAATTTCAAACCTCAGTAACTTTTAAAATAGTGCGAACCGAGCTCAACTTCTACGATATTCGTAATGAGGATCATGTACCTAATGCGTCCGCATACAAATTTTGACGAAAATCGCAGGGACTCGCCCAATGAATTTGAAATATCGCAACTTTAAAAATATGGTGGGCTGAGCTTAACTTTTACCTAAGACATTTGCAATGAGGAGGATGTAGTATGTCCGTATACTAATTTTGACGTAAATCGCAGGGGCTCGTCATGATGACCTTGAAATTCAAACTTCCGTAGCTTTTGAAATATGGCAGGCCTAGCTTATATTTCGTGATAGATGTATCGGCGCATGTGTCAACACTGGCGTGCGTTAGTGACAGACTCGGCCTCTGTCGGATGCAAAGAAGTGGTTTGTGTGTGTGTGTGTTTGTGGGGGGGGGGGGTATTTATGCATGTATGCGTGTATGCGTGTGCGTGTGACTTCACCTGTCATTGGGCGTAAACCTGTTGGTGATTTATGAAAATACAAGATACAAGATACAAGAACTCCCCGTGACAGGGCCTATTTTAACATGTTAACTGGGGTGGCAAAACCCACCCCAGTCGTCTTACTTTGCCACCCCAGTCGTCTTACTTTGCCACCCCAGTGAAAAACAGCCCAAAAGTCTGCCCACAGATATTAGCTGCCGACAATCACGGAGGCGACACATTCTTGAGGCGCAACTCAGCTTGACAGGGGGAAAAGGGCTCACTGAGGCACCACCACCACCAATGGGGTGCCCTCTCACTACTGGGGGCGCCCTGCCGCAACTGTGGCGCCCTACTTTGATTGGGACACATACCGGTAATAGGGCACCCTACCACGACTGAAGAGCCCTATCAACATTGGGGCGCCCAGACACGATTGGGGGCGTCAGCCACCTTTGGGCGCCCTATCAGAAATGGGACGCCGTACCACTACGGGGGCGTCGTAACACTAATGTGACGTTCCGCTGGTGCTGGGGCGCCCTAAGTTTCTGGTGCACCCCACCGCCACGAGGCACCTACCGCCACTGGGGCGCCCACCACGACTTGGGCGCCCTACCACTACTCCGGCGCCCTGCTACAACGGGGCGCCCTACCATCACTGGGCGCCCTGACACGGCTGGGGCGCCCATCACCATGGGGCGCCCCACTACTCCTAGGACACCATCCCACTCCTTGGGCGCCCTTTCACAATTGGTTCCGTACCACTCCTGGGGCGCCCTGCCTTCATAAGTGGAGCGCACTTAACTACTAGGACCCCCTACTATCACTGCGGCGCTTTACCTTTACTTGGGCGCCCACCACTATTGGGGCGCTTCCCACTATCAGGGCTTCCTATCACAACGGGTGCACCTTACCACTACTGAGGTGCCGTACCACTACAGGGGCGCATTTACTGATAGCAGTAAGTCAAGTACAAACTCGCCCTACTGCCACTACTAGTCCGCTATGCCACAACTGGGACGCCTTACAACTAATGGGGCGCCCACCGCTGTTTGGGCTCAATGCCGCTACTGGGGCTTCATTACACTACTGAGAGGTGCCCCGCCACGCCTGGGGCGCCTTACCGATACTGGGGCGCCTGCCGCCTTGTCACTACTGGGGCGCCCCTCAGGGACGCCATACCGCTACTGGGTCGTTCTTACTTTTGAGGTGCCTTACCACAACTGGGGCGATATGTCGGTAGGTATCAACGGCGCATCAATGACAAATAGCAATATGCAAATTACAACAGTGACGGCGGAACGCCTAAAACACTTTCAATAAAGGAGGCACCTCCGACTTTTGGTCGCATTCTTTCCATGCAACGCCAATAGGGCTAATGTTAACCCGCGCCGGGCGGGGGTTGGGGTGGGGTGTTTGAACACCCCTTCCCCCTGCGGTTTTTCGCAGATATCTCAAAAAGGCGGCGCTCCGCGCCGCCGTTTTTGGCACACCTGTTTGTGCATCTTTTCCGCACATGTTGTGGAAATTTCAGACCCAGGTCGCCTTAGGTCAGGTCACCAGGTCACGCCAAGTGACCTCACCTCAGAAAAAAATAAGAATGCTCGTCATAGCTACACCGATTGATCTGAAACTTTCAGCGATTGATTAGAGCAACATTATCTATAAAATGTATATCTCGGAATTTTGATATCGGTGACCTAAGGTCAGGTCAATTTTGCGGCCTCTCAAATATAAGTCAATGGGAGAAAATTGAAAGGCGTCTGTTTTGCACGAACGCCATTCTAGACACTCAAACATCGGGGTGCATGCAAACTTGACACACTGAAATGGAAAATGGCACCTGTGATCCCTCGCCATGTCCCCGAGGTCATCTCAGGTCACGAATAGCATCTAACATTTTTTGCTAATAACTTCTGATAGAGGCATGCTAGAGCGATGAAAACGCATCAGATGTGTTCGGCTCAACGATGTGGATCGACTGATATGTAACATGAACTTTTCCGGTCAGGTCATGACCTTGACCTGAGGTCAAATTTGTAACCTTTCAAAGTGCCAAAGTGCCTTGAAATACCTGTAAACGGTGAAAAATCGACACTGGACCTGACCTGTGACGTCATCGGTTTGACCTAGGTCAATGAAATTGGGTCACAAGGTTGGGGCTATCCAACACCGTTTGTCGCTTGTCACTATGTTGCGTAGTTATCGAGATTTTAGCCCCCCCCCACCCCCCCAACAGGGCGCGTTGCTCGGCAGACCCCTACGGGGCGCGGGCTAAATACGCAGCCCTACGTATTTACCCGAAGCAAAGATTATTAGGTACCCTATCAAGTAGTAAGAATGGACTGTGTTGCCCTTGACAACACTTGCTTTGCCTAATATAAGCAAAAACAACAAAAAAAAACTTCTTACAAACCCTGGGTTTTAGCCAAAAACCCATTGTCCGTGGGCAAAATACTTAACACCCACCACTATCAGGGCTTCCTATCCTGGTTTTCACAACCCTGCGTCCGATCCTATGAGCTCACATCGTTGGTTTCATATGAAATATCTGACCTTTTCAGACCCCTATGTGAAAGTGTGGCTCAACTTTGGCGAAAAGAGGATTGAGAAGCGGAAAAACGCCAGTGCAGAAGTGCACCCTGGAGCCAGTATACAACGAGACGTTCAGCTTCGAGGTGCCATGGGAGCGGATCCGCGAGTGCAGCCTCGATGTCAGGGTCATGGACTTCGACAACGTCGGCCGTAACGAGCTGATCGGACGCATACTGCTGGCAGGTAGGCATACGACATACTGCATACTGCGGACGCATACTGCTGGCAGGTAGGCCGTCACCGTGGCCGTCAGCCGGAAACCAGCGGCGTGTGCTTCCACTTTGACGGCGCTTACAGTGTGATTTCAAAGCATAAATTTGAAATTCAAAGGTTGTTCGCAACTCGGCAGTTGCTGGAGTATTTTTCTCCACACGCCGTTTGCTGGTGGGGGGTGGGGGTGGGGGGTTAAACGCTCCCAGCCGATAACTCTAGAACCAATAGGCGCAGCGAAACGCACGAGGCGGCAAACGAAAGAACGCAACGAGCGAGACGTTTCAGATGAGTACTTGAAAGTTGAATTTCGAGGTCGCAGGTCGATTCAAGGTCAGGTCAAACACCCGAAATCGGTCTTTCAGTAGTGCTACTGAAAGTCCATGCTCATGGACTTTAGAACCTCGAAATGGCCCCTTTCGTGATAAACTCTGTCAAAACTGTGCACAATCCTTCTTGAAACGCCTAAACAGTGTAAGATCTATGTGGGGGTGAGTCAAACATATGTAGGCCAGGGTCAAGGTCAGATCACTCCGGTAAGCACATATCCCCGAAAATCGAAACTGGTATTTGCAGTCTATGAAACATGTGTTGTGGGTAATTTGGGCGTAGAACACGACGGTGACATTCTGTTTATCATACGAGTACGTTTTTTGGCTAAAAAAGTCCATTTAAGAAATGCATGCATCATGGTTGTGAAGTAACTATAGGGTGCGTCAAAAGTTTAAATACCTACCTTACAAATCGTCCCCTCGCTTTCAGTTAAAGTATTGCAACAGATTCATTACCGCGGTGAATCTATTCTCCATGAACTAGGCACATCGTGAGACACCAGCAGGCATACTAGGCACAAAGTTCTGGAGATGCTAAGGGCTGATGTTTGCCCAGGTCTACCCGAGCGCCTTTTCGAGCTGTCCCAGGTCGCTGGGTGGTTCAGTCTTGTCAAGCTCCTGCTGCACGACTCTTTGAGATAACGCCATTATATTTAGGATAGACCTGTTCCCTAGCCATGTGCCCCTCGCCAAGATATCGGATAGATGCTCTAGGCACCAGCCACCACATCTATGTTCTGGCAGATCGATGAGCAGGAGCACCAATGCCCTTTATACCAGTTAGGGTCGTCCGGCGATTCTACCTGATCGTACGGTCGTCAAGTTAGATGTAAGTGAATCCTAATCTATAATCTAAGATTCGGAATCAGGTGAGCCCCTACGATTTGGACCAAACTTGGTCAGTGGATAGTACGTAACGTCCTGATTACGATGCACCCAAAATCTAAGCTCGGCCCGCCATATTTACGAAGTTACGGATGTTTGAATTTCAAGGTCATTCGGGAGAGCCCCTACGATTTCCGTCAAAATTTGTGTACGGACACTCTAAGTGCTCCTCATTACGAATATCACAAAATTTAACCTCGGCCCGCCATATTTACGAAGTTAAGGAGGTTTGAATTTCAAGGTCATTTGGGTGAGCCCCTGCGATTTCCGTCAAAATTGGTATACGGACATATTACATCCTCCTCATTACAAATATCATAAAAGTTAAACTCGGCCCGCCGTATTTTTCAAGTTACGGAGTCACAAAGTTACGGAATTTCAAGGTCATTCGGAGAGCCCCTCCGATTTTCGTCAAAATTTGTATGCGGACACATTACATGCTCCTTATTACGAATATCGTAAAAGCTAAGCTCGGCCCGCACTATTTCAAAAGTTAGAGCTGTTTGAATTTCAGTGAGTTTCAAACGTCAGTAACTTTTGAAATAGTGCGGGCCGAGCTTAGCTTTTACGATATTCGTAATGAGGAGCATGTAATGTGTCCGCATAAAAATTTTGACGAAAATCGGAGGGGCTCTCCGAATGACCTTGAAATTCCGTAACTTTGTGACTCCGTAACTTGAAAAATATGGCGGGCCAAGCTTAACTTTTATGATATTTGTAATGAGGAGGATGTAATATGTCCGTATACCAATTTTGACGGAAATCGCAGGGGCTCACCCAAATGACCTTGAAATTCAAACCTCCGTAACTTCGTAAATATGGCGGGCCGAGCTTAAATTTTGTGATATTCGTAATGAGGAGCATCTAGAGTGTCCGTACACAAATTTTGACGGAAATCGCAGGGGCTCTCCCGAATGACCTTGAAATTCAAACATCCGTAACTTCGTAAATATGGCGGGCCGAGCTTAGATTTTGGGTGCATCGTAATCAGGACGTTACGTACTATCCACTGACCAAGTTTGGTCCAAATCGTAGGGGCTCAGCATATTTACGTCTGGACAACGAGTTGCGGGGAAAAGTGCTGATTTTGGTGCAGTTTTAGGAGCCGGTGATTCGGCTGGATTTTTAGGTTACTTTTTCGTTCCGATTCCTGTATTTCATAGTGTTTAGCTTTTAAATATTTTAGTTCTCTCAGAAAAATATTACTTGCCTTATAGATTTGGTTAAATTGTTTCATTTTTATAAGCCGACCGCTAGAGTCATAAAACAATACATCAGCACTACAATTATTGTAAACAAACAAATGGAGCACCGCTTGGCTCTGTTCAAAGCAAGTTCCAAGGCCTTTTTCAAGTTCATCTGGTGTTTTCGTACTCGTGTACGTCGTTTTGTTGGAAGTTTCGGATCCCTTGTGATTGAATTATATCATATTAAAGAATCATGTTGACTGAAAACAATTCCAAGTATCCAGGAGGCTAAGGCTCCAAAGTCCTACTCCTGACTCCTGAGCCCTGAGCAATATTGATATCAAGTTGAATTTAGGAAATGTTGGTTGATAAACGCAAGTTGGTCTGGCTCACTTATCAGCAAGAAAAAGTAAAATTAAAAGAGCTTATTGGACAAAAACAAGCTATACTATTGCAGGAGATCATGAAGAGCACGGTGAGCAATACCAAGCCAGAAAATGCTGGCTGATGAACTCATATTGATGTATTGGTGTGAATATTGAATTATAACTTACAACAGCAAGATTAATTTGTGCTAACTATCGAGTGAAAAAATCTAGAATGAATGAACTCGGGCAGCTTTACTTTGCAGAAGGGTAATGTCGTAATGTGCATTACTCAGTGTCTGGCAAGTGAAACACACAATCATTCCATTGCTACTGGAGGAGACAGCTTGCCGCTTGGATCACTAAATCAGCTTAATGTTTAATGTGATGTTCATCATTACTTTGCATTTTTTGAAAAAAGGATTTTAGAAGAATTGTCAATGTGACAAATACAATCCATGCAACGATGTGATCGTATGATGTGTTCATATAGTCGTGAGTGATTATTGGTCCAATATACAATAGCAAAGCTGTCAGCATTTCTTTCTGTGGATGGCCAGAAATGACTCAGTCTCAGAACATAGAAGCATTAGTTTTCTTCACAGGACTTGGATAAAAAGTACTGAGGGTAATCTTCCAGCAAGGAACTTTATAGTTTATTTTGACTTGGTATGAGATGTAGGCACAAGTAGGTAGGTACTTAGTCATATAGCTAGTAGTTGTGTAGGTTAGTTGGGTGCTCTTATATTAGGTTGTAGTTTTTAAATTGCCTAGTGTCCATAAAAATGTGACCTGAGGGCTGAGCATACCTGACTAACCTGACCTAACCTCAATCATCATTCATCACACATATTTGCAACCTCCCCAAGACCTGCATAGCAGTAGCACTCAGTTATAGGTAGGTACTTACTCACCCTAGCTCCATCTCACCTGCTAACCTTCAACTTGCCAACAGTTAGCTCACCTTGCCAAGCCATATCCAACTATCCAGGGAAACAGTCAAATGAGGAACTGGCTCATTGGGTGGCTGGTGAGAGTCTGTGCATTTAAAGTGTCTCTTCTCTGAAGCTGCTCAGCACTACAGTGTATGCCATGTTAGATGCTCAGAAAAATGTGGGAAATGATAACTAGGCTACTTTAGTGCTTTGTTCATGCTCAAGACATCAACAAGTACAAATCCTGTGGGGTAAAGCTATGAGCTGGGTGAGTAATGAGTATGTCAGGTGGGTGTGCTGTTGGACTGTAGTAAATATACAAACAAACACAGGGTCACAGTTATATTCAATCTCCACAAAAACATACAACAAAAACGCCCATAGCCTCACTCCGATAGCAAATAGCTAAGCCTTGCAGTCACAAAAACGCTTTGATTTACAGGATAGGTATACAATATATCCTCTGTCCTTGGGGATCTTCCTGCCAAGTTGAAGTAAGATGACTGAACTTCAGGATTGAACAACCTTTTCTTCTTAGCCACAGCTTATATACGAGAAAGCTTGGTTGATTAACTGCCTTGAAAATTTTATGATCCATCTTCAATTCTGACATGAAGGCACAAAGAAAATAGTTCCCTCTCCTCTTGGAATACCTACACAAAACAAAATATGTAATATTTAATAACTTCTTAGTGGATGGACAAGAGCAATTATCATATCTTGAGCTTCCCCTCAAGTAAACCTCTGGCACTGATGAACTTCACTGACACCTCTGATCCAAGATAAACTTGAAATGTGTGAATCCTGGTGTGAATCTATCATGCAACGGATGGAACTTGAGGTCAATATGATATTTTGCGATATACAACGTTACTTTGGAACCTTTTTGCATGTTTGCTTCATATTTTGTAACAAACGCGCAAGAACTGCAATATTACAGCACTATATGCTTCTGGACAAAATGCAATGGTAGTGAAAACTTAGCGCTGATGGTATTCATTCTTGACCAAACGTAATCACAAATTGTTTTTGTAGTAACTATTAAATTCCAGCCAAAAACAGTGCACGGGTTAAAAAATAATCATTCCAATGACGGTCCATTCTTGCGGTCCTGAAATCGCCACTATTTCCGGCCTCTCCAACGCAACTCGTTGTCCAGACGTAAATATGCAGGGGCTCACCTGATTCCGAATCTTAGATTATAGATTAGGATTCACTTACATCTAACTTGACGACCGACCTGATCGTGGCGTCAGTCCGTGACGTCAT